TGTGCAGTTAGGCTTCGGGGTTCATGTAGAATCAACAGGCACCGCGAAGAGAGACGCAACTCGTTTGTGATCTCCGTGTACGCTCCAACTGACTGCAGTGGCGACTTGGTCAAGGACGAATCCTACCGAGATCTTGACTAATGCTAAAAGTCGGATGTCGTTATCCTTGCTGTGGATTTTAATTCACGGGTTGGCCGCCTGTTACCATACGAACGCCACCTTGGTGGTCATCACGCGCTCGATGAGAACCGCTCTGATAACGGAGAGAGACTTCTCACATTGTGCGAAGATAACAGTCTGTTTCTTTCGAGCACTAGGTTCAGACATACGAAGAAGCGTTCCGCAACGTGGCGTCTCCCTTCGCCAACACAACCGTGGTCTCAAATTGATCACATTGCAATTAGCTTCGGATGGCGCGGCAGCGTACTGGACTGCAGGTCCTTTTGGTCCACTTTCGTTGACTCAGATCATGCTCTGGTCTGCGCGAAAATCTGTGTGTGTTTTGGAGGATCCCGAAACACGAAGCACCGCAAGATTGATGTAAACAGATTAACCGATTCCTCTGTCCAGGCGAGCTATCAGTCTTCACTGGCATATGCACTCAGTTGCAATCCACCGCAAGAAGTGGAACAACACTGGACTTGTATACGGAAAGCGATGACCATTTCCGGACAGTCATGCTGCGGTCTAACTCGACGCCCTTTGAAATCTTGGATCTCTGCTCGTTCTCTGGAGCTGTTCGAACGACGCAAAGGTATCCCCGCGGAATCAGATTGCAACGAGCGGCGCCGCTCTGCCAACCGGCTGCTTAAGCAACGCCTACGCAAGGATCGCGAGACATGGTGGTCTGCGCGTGCTTTAGAGATGGAGACTGCTGCACTCTCTGGCAACACTCGCAGGCTTTTCCAACTCATTCGGTCCAGTGGGCTCAGGAAGCCTGGTGTCAGTGAGGTCATTTGTGAGGTGGATGAGTCTCCGATCACCAACCAACAGAGGCGTATGGACCGCTGGGCCGAGCACTTTCACTCGCAGTTCAACTGGCCTCCGCCATCTATCAGTACATGCAGTACACCTTGCTGTCCACCCTGGCTCGTCCCATTGAATCCACCCAGCGAAGCAGAAGCCTGACTCGAGATTCGACGCTTGAAGCGCTTCAAGGCTGCCGGCTTAGACGGACTTCCTCCGGAGCTATTCAAATACGGCGGTGTGGTGATCATTAACCAGCTAACTGCGCTGTTCGCAAAAATTTGGCATGAAGAGAAAGTGCCTTCCTCTTGCGTCGAATCAGTTATTGTCCCAATTTTCAAGTAAGGCGCTCGTACTTCATGTGCAAATCATTGCGGGATTAGTCTTATTTCGGTTGCCTCTAAGCTATTGGCATCCATTCTGCTTCGTAGACTATCCCCAGTACGTGAATCATACTACCGTGAAGAACAAGCTGGTTTCCGTCTTGGCCGCGGATGCGTGGATCAACTCTTCACGCTCCGCCAGCTCCTCGAACATCGCCACACTTATCACAGGCCCACTATCGTTGCATTCCTAGACATACGTGCCGCTTTTGACTCCGTTGATCGACCTGCTTTATGGCGTTGCTAAAAAAGGGGGTGCCAGAGAAATATACCACCATCTTACGAGCACTTTACCTTCATACATCCGGCAGAGTGAGGGTCTATGGCAAGCTTTCCTCGCAATTCGCTGTCAATAGCGGTGTGCGACAGGGCTGCCCTATGTCCCCATTCCTCTTCAACTTCGCAGTCGAAGACGTTCTGTCGAATGCCCTAGAAGGTTTCCAACATTTTGGCTTAGAGCTATCTACCGGGTGAGCGCGCGACCGACTTAGATTATGCTGATGATATCGCCTTACTTGGTGACGATCCTCAGGGTATGCAACTCATTCTGGATCGTTTGGCGGTTGAAGCATCTAAGTATGGCATGAGCTTCGCCCCATCGAAGTGTAAAGTACTGCTCAAGGATTGGCTTTCACCTGCTCCTGTGCTCACTCTCGAAGGTGCACAACTTGAACAAGTAGATAGTTTCGTCTACCTCGGAAGCTGTGTTTCTACTGACGGCACTATCAACAAAGAAGTTTCTCTTCGAATCGCTAAAGCTCGATCAGCATTTGTCAATCTGAGGCACTTGTGGCGTCGTCGCAACGTCTCATTCTCACTAAAAGGCCGCGTTTACAGCGCGTCCGTTCGCTCAGTATTGTTGTATGGGTGCGAATCCTGGCCGATTCGCGTGGAAGAGATGCGTCGTCTTTCTGCCTTCGATGCCGGCTGCTTAAGGAGGATCGCTCGTGTTTGGTGGCAACATCGAGTTAATAGTAATGACGTTCGACGTCGCATCTTGGGGAGTGCAAGTATTTCCTTCAACAAACTGGTTTTGTTGAGCCAGTTAAGATGGCTCGGTCATGTCCTACGCAGGGCACCTGCGCGTCGCGCTCTATTCGCTCGTCAAGGACGTGGCTGGAGGCGGCCGCGTGGTGGTCAGCCTTCCACTTGGCGGCTGCACATGAAATCGCTGACGTCGTGTCTAGCCGCCGTTGCATCCGTACGTCTTCCAGGATGGGGACCCAAAGATGAGGAGTGTCAATGGCTTAGGACTCTTGAAGACATGGCCCGTAACCGGAATCAGTGGAAGAATTGTGTACAGTATTGTATTGATTCACATGTTTAGTACTACCAACATTGAAAATGACAAAAAAAGAACAAAAGCGGCGTGTGACAAACAAACTAAAGATGTTTTGTTCTGTATTTTTGTCAAAATATTGCATTTTCTTGCGGCATATTAGCTGAAGTATGTTGCTCACCTTCGCGTACTATGCCACGATGATTATCACGCAACGATTGTCTTCTGTCCACTGATCTCCATGGTTTTGCTGGCTCTGTCTAGTTGCTAGACTGTTGAGATTACTTACTACGGGTGGGTTAGGCAACCTCAAAGCAGGCATTGATAAATCAGCCTCGAGCTTGCCCTTTCTTTCCTAGGCTGAGTGCGTCTCGTCTATCCTATGGCGTGCGCGATAGTCCAACCGCGCATGCACGCGTTGCTAATTCCGCAACAGCTCATACGCTGTGTAATACGAGCTGCCACAATGGCTCTGTACGAGACCATCGTACCCATCGCCAGACTGTTGAACGATAGCAAGACAAAGAAACCACTGGTGGACCAGTACTATCGATTGTTTTAGTTGGTAGTTTACCCGTTCGTCCGCGCTCGTTGCCGAGTAAACTTTTCCTGTGCTTTGGACCACATGAGTTCGCTGCGTATCACGCTGTCCACTTTGGGGTCGAGTCTGCGGCCACACCAAAGGGAAGAGTAACAAGTGTGAGCTGTGCGCGCGTGCAGTAGTATGGACGCTTGTGATCATGTCGATTGGACGGTTTGACTTCAGAGAGAACGCCTCGGCTTTCCTTCAGACGCGCATTGGTGCCTGGGCAATTCGTTACGCTTGTCGACTGCGTAAACGGGTGAGAATTAGTACGGGTACAGATAGTTGTGTAGTGATCGTCAGCGTAAAAAGTGGTGAAGCACTAATGGTCGCATATCTTTGTTCCTTCCCTCAAATGTGTGCAGAAGATGCGATCATCCTCTCTCGATCGTGGGATATATTTTTCACATTTGGTGCTTGGTTTATTATACCGCTATTGTATATAAAGATGAACACCAGAGCGGCTAGATCCCTCATATGGGATCTCCGGCTCCGCATTGGCGTTATAATGAACGCCATAAACTAGTGCTCACGTTGTCCCTTTTGTACTAGATACCCGACTCCATTACCATTCGATGGCTACCGGAAGGGTGATTTCTAGCAATAGAGTTCCCGACGAATGACTGTCATCTGATCATCGGTCTATCGGAGTTCCGCATCCACCAATCCCAAGGAGTTAGGGGTTCCATTTTAACACACTATAATCCGTTCAAATTTGTGGTTTTGCTCCCATTGCATTGAACGGTCGAACCTTACCTTCTCAAATTGAAAACTCTTAAACTCTTGACCCACTGGGTTTTTGAAGCCTTTAGAACGTGATCTTATTCATCGTTTGTCTGGTATTTCATTCGGTTGATCCATCATGTCTCTGGTGGTCGCACTACTTTACGAGACTCATCAGAGTTGGGCTCTTTCTACCTTTCTCATCAACTTTGTCCTCAAAATAGTTGTAACTGACTCCGTCGGGACTCTGCTGGTGACCGGCTGGTAAGTTCAAAATACTCAAACGGCGCAGTTCTGTCTCGGTCACCTCCAACCAATGGCCCTCGTGCGGCAGCACTGCGTCTCTACAAATTTCTGCGTCACTGCTGATGCCCTTGACTGTATACACTATACTGCATTCGTTCAAGTCCGACGGATACCGTTATGCGACGCCTAGATAGGCCAGGGAGGCCCGAATGTATCTCACCGTTTGATTGGCTGTGACACTGGTCACTACTTTTTTGCGGGTAGCAACCACAATACGCGATCAACCTAACCAGTCGGTTTGTGCACTTGAGATAGATTAACAATCTTTTGTAATATTCTGCTCTTAGTTCATCCACTATTTGGTTCCGTCATAGGTGATTGACACAATGGCTGACTACCGACACCTTCGGGCGCTCCGTGGTGCCCTTAATTGTACGCTGCATCTTCAGTATTAGTCTACATTTTCTTCTGTAGCTTTTAGAGTTCATTTTTCATCGATATTACTGACACTATCAAAAATCGTAGTTTCTTGTGGCTGTATATTACTGATGTTGACCTATGCTCTTGCTGACATAACATTTTAAGTTTGTTTAACCTGGCGCACCGCCGTTTGGACCAGCTTTACTCGTACTCATCGAAAGCTATCTTTCGCTTGTGTCACTGAGAGTGAGCGTCAACTTACGCGACTTTTTAATTTTTTTTAGTTACTCTACTGTTTCTTGCTTGATATCTACTTTTTCCATCAAAACAACCTTTCTTTAGGAATACTCACCCATCTTTATTTTTTCTCGCAATTTTCCTGCATTCCTTTAAACTGCAGGGGTACATGAGGTCCTACTTCGCTGGCCTTTTATGCGTTGATTGGTCGAGCGATGGTCGCTTTGTTGTGGTTGGCGGTCAGGATGATCTCGTGACCGTTTGGTCAATGGCTGAGCGTGCGGTTATCTGTCGTGGGCAGGGGCATCGGTCCTGGGTGAGCACGGTCCGCTTCGACCCTTACCTTACTCCAATCTTTACAAACTCTCCGCCCGAATGTTGTCAGTCAATCAGTTCCTCACGTTCCCATACGAAATCTGCGATGAACATGAACGACAATTGTGCTATTAAGGCTGCCATTACAATGGACTCGAATGGCCACGAAAACAGTTTCATATCTCGAACCTATCGGTAGGTATTTGATACGTCCATACGTTGATCACTATACTTGGCTCTTGTTTCATGCCACGTTCCACCACGTTTTGTTGTTTCGATACTACTACTCCTACTGCTACTATTAACAATAGTAATAAAATAATAGTAATTATTATTATAGTAATAATAATACGTGTATTCTCAACGAGGGGAGACATGGCTCAGTGAAACTGGTCCGATCACTTGATCCAAAGGAAATTCAATTGCCTATTACCTTGTTTTACGAAAGCAATCATAGTTCATTTTCCATTGTTGCTTTCACTCATAATTTCCTTCCGACTGGATTTCAGATCAGACGACAGCCTAGAAGAGTCCTGGTGGGATCTTTATTAGGAGAAAAACGCTGATGATTATGGAAGTGAAAGACAACCTGCGCGTAGGAGCACGAATAAAAACAATGTTGCGTGGTTTGTTATGATAATTTGATATGATCATAATTTTAGCACCTAAGAGATAGGGAGCACAAACCAGAGAGCAGCTACGTGTTGAACAACTAACCTAAAAACTGTCCCTCCGTTGTGAACAATTCAAGTCATTAGCGACGAGCGACTTGCTTTGCACACAGTTTTCGAAATATAACAAAGGATGGGAAATGAAATGAGGTACACAAGTTAAGATTTATTAGCAAGGCTTTATTAACTGTTCACTCTTTCGGTATGTCCGCGTCTCCTAAACGCATGCACGTCTTTCATCTAACTGAATACAACAGATGAGGCGATAGAGGTAAATGGGGAAAAAATTTCATCTGTCCAGTCCGCTGATGTGCTGATCTTTTTCATGGGCGGTCGACGAGTCTCCACTCTGAGTAAGATGGGAAATGTTATATTACAATTAAAGGAGTTGAATGATTGAGCCAAAAGTAAAAATAAGAAAAAAAATTCTTTTACTCAAAGACCATAGAGGATATTCGTGGTCCTGGGCACCCCACTAACATTTTGCACATGCTGTATTAACAAACGTTTTCTCCTCCTCTTTAACCGTCCCTTTTCTGTTGCGGCTGGCCCGTGACCGGAAGGACGAGGCGTCTGCCTTGCAACTCGGACTTCACTGGTCCGGGCTTGCGTAGGGACCGGGTGTCCTTATCCCACGCGTGACTCATGGGTACGTGGCAGCGAAGCGTGGGTACGGTGTACTGCTTATGCCTTTTTTCTGTTATGAATGCCAAGTTAGTGTCGGCTCCGTTTTCATGCACCCATTCATCTGTGTAACTAACATAAAGCAATGTTTTTGCTACTTTTCCTAATTAAGTATTCTTAGTTGTCTGAATTATCTGAGATAAACTTCTGACGACTTGATGCAATCAGTTTCTTAGCATATAATATTTAGGCTTAACGAACTTGCGTCTGATATCTATGTGCTGTCACTTCCACATTGACTTGCGAGTAAGGATCGTGGAGCACATACCGGCGTGGCTTAGTAAACACGTTTCCCAGATGCCTGCGTTCACCACCGTTAATGCGCAAACGAAAAGACGGAATGAAGTTTCGTGCAAACAAACTCGTCTATCGCCCCTCATCTGTTGACCGACAACCATTTTGTAGATCCTGCGCGTGCGTTCTGTGTTATCTACACCTCAATAAAGCCCCATACCTTAGAGTACGCTAAAATCGTGGCCGTCAAGCAACTTGGCCCAACCTTATGTGCAGAAGGACGCATTTTTGAACCTGGCTCTGCCGCGGAAGTGGGCCAGTAAAAAGTTACATGTATGTATGTACGCACAGTTTGGTCAATTTTCATTTTCAACTGCACTACCTTCATAATGTTTCATACATAAAAGCGGTTGTAGTGTCCACTTGCAAACATGCAGAAAGCTTTCTCTTTACGATCAAATCGTGCAGCTCTCTAGAAATGACGGCACAATATTCTAATTATGGCCACTGATATAGTTTGAGAGACGGGAGTTGAACTTTACTTGTTACAAACAGGCGGCCGATCATTCCAATAGTTTGTCATGTCTTATCTACGGTATACTCAACTTGCCATTCAAAGACTTCGAATTACTTGGGCCTTAGCCACTGAGTCACCTAAAGTGAGCGAAATATCATGCAGACCAACGTTCCCGGTAGGTCTCTGTATCCGTAACACATGATGTTGTGCTTAAATGTTGAAAACTTCACGGAAGATCCGATATGCCACCCTTAGGAGAGATCAGATGACTCCGACTTTTAGAGATAAGAGACAAACGTTGGGATTCAGTGGCAGACCGACATTCTATGTCTTTGACAAACTGGTAAGATGTTCCGTTTCTCATTACTATTAAAATTTATTTACTTATATCAGAAAAAGAGGAGTGCGGAGCACACTATTCTGTAGTGCACCACCAATGATATCTCTTCTGTCTGATGGGTACTCGCCGACCTAGACTAACTGCTTTCGTCCAAGGAAGGACGCTTTTAGGATAGTAGTGCGCCTGCGACACAATTGTTACGAAGTTCGTATGTTGTAGGCTTTTTATGTATCGAAAATTCCTTGAGGATCCAAGCGAATAACAGCACGCTTTGCCGGAGTCTATTGATTTCGTTGAATGATCAGGGAAATCTAATTGGCAGGAAGTACACGGGCGCTTCTGAGGAGATTCCTACTGTGCCGGTTGTAAAGATTACCTGATATTAAGAATTTCACAGTTCCATTCCTATTGAAGTCTTCCATAATCCTAGAAATTACGAGTGATTTATCGGTCGGTAATACGTGATTTCATGTCTACGCCTCGTTTTGCCACCGTGTTGTCAGCTTCCACTGATTGGGGTAAAAACCGAGCAACGTTATCTTAAACAGGTTCAGTAGCAATAAAACCGTTTAGTAGCAAGTAGGGATGTCATCATCGCCATACTTTGGAACTCTAAGGATTCCATCCGGTCCCGGGTGAAACGCAAGTGTTAATAATAATTGTTCTTATCCTTATATTAATGACAAGATATAGATTTCCGGAAATCTCGACTGTGTCCCAATGGACACGTCAGGTTATACAAAAGTATGCAAATCGGTACTCAATAGAATGGTTTAGACTGATTAAAATAGTTTTGGAGACGGATTTAATGATGATAGTATGTTGTTGGGAGCATAGCTTTTCCCAGACATATTCGAACCTTGAAGCCAAGACATTCTCTCCCTATGGTGTTCAGATGGCACACCGTTAAAGATGTAAAGATAGGTAGCGAAAAATGAGTTAGTAGAATGTTTATAATGTAATTAAATTACACTAAAAGTTTTCGTTATCATTCAGGTTAAAATGTCAGTTAATAATTGTTAAGAGAAGCACCTTTTAAAGAATGGATTAGTAAACCCTACACAGATCAAACTTTTCTCCAGAACTCAATTAGTACAACCGCATTGGTTGGTCAAATGGATCACTTCAGACAATTCAATACCATTATTGGTAAATAACGGTAGCCTGCGCAGTGTAATTGTCATGTGCCTGGCAGCCATTAAGCTACTACCTGCAACCTTGTATTTTTGCTCGACCAATCTGAGTGGTCAGGTTTCGAACGGCCAATCAGAGCGGTGCGTCGCGACCTTGGCGACAGAGAAATTTTGATTGGTGAAGCTATAAATGCTGTTTTCAGTGAGGACCGTATCGCAGTACTTCAATATCAACAGGATCACTTCGAAGAAATCCAGTTAGTGGAGAATGTCTTCCAGCTTCTTGCGGTACAACCAGGACCAAGCACTGAAAGCAACAGTCATCTGTGGATGCAGTCGCTGACAGCATTTTCGACTTTCAGTATGACTCGGATGCCGGCCTCATTCTCAAAGCTTGGTTCAGAGGATACCATAACACTTTCCTGTCTTAATTTACCGATGCTACTGACGAATGGCTGCTTTTGCTGAAGCTGGGAACCAAAAGGCATGCAAGTTTCTCCATTCCCTTTCACCAAAACGTCTAACAGATTTCACTTTTGATCAACTTTGTTAAATGACATCTTTCGTGAACAGTCTTCCTTACTCAACATCCGATACAGCTTCATGAATCTGTGCGCATCAGACGATTTTGCAACTTACGCGGGTACTGCCAACCCTCATTGCTAGCGTTTCTAACTAAAGATAATGACATACGGTCAGTTCAAGGCTCTGGTCTCCAGACCCCTGAAGACGCCGAAATACGCATGAGGTTGCTTAGCAAAGTTGAACAGGACCCGTCTTCAACGATCTCATATCCACTGCCTCCAAATACCAGTGGTTAAACAACTTAAAGCACGACTCGAACCTGATTGCCCAAGGCCATAGTTTATGTCCCATAGATACGCTGGCGAAATCGAACCAACGCGGAAGTCCAGGGAAGTTCACAAATTCGTTGAAACCAAAAACACCGCCATCCCCCCGCTGGCAACGTAGGGAATGGTACTTCGTCAGATTCTGTCCGTCCAAGAAGCATCGCTTACAGAAGTGCAACAAAAGGGACCACAAGTGGGATCATTAGCGTGCAGCTGCTTTCAATAGTAACATCTCCAATAACCATTCCAAAAAGTTTGTACCCACATCTCTAACAAAACAGGTATCTCTACTTTTTCATATATTTGCTACCTTTGCTTCAGAGTTCGCAAAGCGCAGCACTTTCTTTGCCCTGATTGAGAACCATGTTCTCGTGCGCATAAAAGTTGACACTGCCTCAGATATCACGACCATAATCGAGAAAACTTGGAAGAAAATCGGTGAGCCACCGGTTCAAAGAACAACTCGGATTGCAACCAATGTCTCAAGGGGACCAGCGAAAACTTTTACCCCGTGATGTTCGAAGGCTGTTAGTTCCAAGGGGTTTGCTATGTAAGAAGATACGCGGACCTGTAATTACTGGGTATCGACTGGACTGACGATATGGAGCTGCTTGATTTTCCCCTGAATTCCGTGTGCAACAAATTAAGCGACGCAGCTATGAATTGGACGGAGACTATAAAACAAATACTCCTAGATGTTTCAAGACGGTCTAGAATTGTGCGCGAAAACCATGGCCAATTTAGCCCTGCAGCCGGTTCCATCTG